AGAATTCAGTCACCGCGAGGTTAATGACTGCACTCCAAGTGCTCCAAGTCCTTTTCGATTTTAAGCGACTAACAACCGGTACGGATGTGCGCCTGCTACAGTGATTGAACCTTCATATAAAATGAACTCGGGGGCACGGGACGCGGCACAAACGGGGCACAAACGCGAGGCTACAAAGACGGGGAGGCACGTAGTGACGCAGGGGAGTCTAGGCGACGGCGGCGTCCTGATTGAACCTTTACTTCGTTTAATTCATCGAGAACGGTGGCGCGGCATAGGTTTGTTGTTGTTTAGGTTAGTCATTGGTGATGCCGTCGGCGAGACTGTGAACGCTCGACATCTCTCATCTATTTCAAACAAATATGGTTTACTTGTTGGATTCCGGTTGTGACGCATCAGGGCAGCCTCGCCTACATGTAAATGTACATGTATTGTGTGAGTGAGTATTCTTGATACGAAACACACACACACACACATGGGATTTTTTTGTGCCCCCCCCCCCCAAAATAAAATGAACTCGGGGGCACGGGACGCGGCACAAACGGGGCACAAACGCCAGGCTACAAGGTAGGTAGGTAGAAAGGTGAAGAACAGCCAGGCTCGGACTGGACACCAACGCGGTATGGGTGGACGCGAGACAGATGATGACGACACGCACGAGCGACACACAGACACAAACAAGCTCACAAGACACACAGCCAGCTGGCTGCCACACACCCTGAGTTGGCGTATACATAACTCAGGGCCACATTCTTCCTGTCGCCCCCCCCAGCACTCCAAGGTGCCAAGAGAAACAAACAAGGGCACAACAAACAACAGACGACAGGAAGCAACGTGCGAGGCTAGAGCAGGCTACAAAGAAGGCGGAACCACGTTTTTCTTCTTCGCGACGGGCCCCGCTACATGGCAGACCTCAACTGGCGCCCTCCCGGCTGGTCGGCCAAGCCGTCAACGCCGCGCTACCTCCTCATCACCAAGGAGGGCGCCTCCACCGGCCACCTCACCATCTCCGACCGCGCGCTCCTCTTCGGCCGCCGGGTGCGCGAGAGACCCGCTTGGACACTTCTCCCGCTCTCTCGCTCGGCGGCAGCATGCGCCCCGTGATATGTCGTCACGTCGAGCATATGGCGTCACGCGGTCACACGTCCAGACACGGAGCGTTCTGCCTCTCACTCGGCTTCTTCGCTCCACACGAGACCGACGCCTTTCGCGCGCGCTCGCGGCGAGGCCCGGCGGCGCGACGGCGTGCGCTTCCCCTGACGCACCGCGGCAGGTGCCGAACGAGCCCGAGCGCGGCACGGTGCGGCTCGACCACGACTCGATCTCGCGCCAGCACGCGGCCGTCGTCCACTCCTTTCAGGCAAACACACTCTCGGCTACTCTCGGCTCTCTCGGCTGCTGCTCTCGGCGGATCTCTGCTGCTCTCGGCTCCACTCGGCTCCACTCGGCTCCTCTCGGCTGCTCTCGGCCACTCTCGGCAACCCTACTCCTCTCGGCCACTCTCTGATCTCGGCTACTCTCGGCTACTCTCGGCCACTCTCGGCTCCTCTCGGCTCCTCTCGGCTACTCTCGGCTGATCTCGGCTGATCTCGACTCATCTCGGCTGATCTCGACTACGGCACTCCTTTCAGGGCGAGACCTTCGCCGTCGACCTCGGCTCGCGCTTTGGCACGACGCTCGACGGCGAGAAGATGCCGGCCAACAAGTACACTCACTGCAGTAGATGCCATCTCGTAGTGCCGCAGATGCCATCTCGCCGTAGTCGTAGCCATCAGTAGCCATCACCGCAGTAGTAGCCATCACTGGTAGTGGCCGGCGAACAAGCGCACGCGGGTGCGCGAGGGCTGTGATTACTGCGCAATGATTGATCATTTTTGCGATTCTCATTGCCAGGTACGCGCCGCCCCGCGAGGGCGCCACGCTCCTACTATTAGTTATTAATTATTCATTAATTATTAATAAGGTACACGCCGCTCCGCGAGGGCGCCACGCTCCTTAATTATTAATTGTGAGTATTAATTAATTAGTAATCAGGTACACGCCGCTCCGCGAGGGCGCCACGCTCATCTTTGGCGCCTCCTCCCAGCTACACGCTCCCCGCCCTCAAGGAACCTTCTCGGAACCGTCCAGGAACCTTCTAGGCGCCTCCTCCCGCAGCTACACACTCACCGCCACGCCGCCGGCCGCCGCCGCCGCCAAGCCGCGGGCCGCCGCCGCCTCCGCCGCCTCCTCCGCCGCCGCCTCCGCCGCCTCCTCCTCCTCCGCCTCCGCCTCCGCCGCGCCCGCCTCGACCCCCTCCTCTGTCGCTCGAAAGCCACGCCCGCTGGCGGCAGTTGCGGCGGCGGCGGCGGCGGACGACGACGTCGACCCGATGGCTGGCTATGTGGACGAGAGCGCCTAAAAAAGAAATACGCGGCCGCGCCACGAGTATTTCTTTTTTAGGCTGGCTATGTGGACGAGAGCGCCTAAAAAAGAAATACTGGGGCGCGGCAGCAGTATTTCTTTTTTAGGCTGGCTATGTGGACGAGAGCGACGGGGAGGGCGGCGGATCCGGCGGCGGCGAGGGCGGGGGCGGGGGCGGGGGCGGCGGCGGCGGGGGCGGGGGCGGCGGGGGAGGCGGCGGCGGCGGGGAGCGCGGGGAGGGCGGGGGAGGCGGCGCGAGGCTGCAGCGGAAGCGAGAGAAGGAGCGGCGGAGAGAGATGAAGGCGGAGCGCAAGGCGGCCAAGGCGGCGAGGAGGGAGAAGAAGGGGGAGGCGGGGAAGAAGGGGAAGAAGGGGAAGCGGGACAGGCGGGAGGCGAAGGAGGAGAAGAAGAAGGACCGGGGCGCGGAGAAGGGGGCGGCAGCGGGCGGTGCCACGCGCCCCCCCCACCGCCCCCCTGCCCCCACCGCTCCCCCCACCGCTCCCCCCCACCGCTCCCCCCCACCGCTCCCCCCCCACCGCTCCCCCCCCACCGCCCACCACCCCCTACCCCCTCCTCCCTCCTCCCTCCCCCCCGCCCCCCTACACCCGCACACCGGCGTGCTGGTGTGAACAGCGTCTCTTCACACCCCTCCACCTGCGGGCAGGCAAGCGGGTGTGAACAGCGTCTCTTCACACCCCTCCACCTGCGGGCAGGCAAGCGAAGTGTGAACAGCGTCTCTTCACACCCCTCCACCTGCGGGCAGGCAAGCGAGGCCGCGCGGAGGCGGACGACGACGGCGGCGCGGGGAGGAAGAGGATGGGTAGAAGCGGAACACGGACTCTTGTCTTCCAACCAGCGCTCGAGAGGACACGCACTCCGCCGTACTCGCGCCGCGTTCAGTCGCGTTCACATAAACGCACAACCCCGGGCTCCGACATCGCACAGTGACAGTCAGGCGTGCAACCCGCGGGGTCCCAGGGAAGGCGAGCAAAACCCGTATCGCGCGTCGCTAGACGCCGGCTCGGAGGCCGCACCGGTCATGCGCGCAGCCGGGGGAGGGAGGCGCTCAATCGCTGCACTCGCAGCCCCTCGTACTCACGCGGCGCTCCGAAGACTCTCGCACAATGCCGTCCTCCAGCCCCGAGGCTGGCGTCTCCACACACAAGAACACACGCCATGGCCCGGGGCGCACAAGCACAGACAGGTCGAGAAGGGAGAGAGACAGCGACGGCAGCCAGAAGGCAGCACCGGGTCCCCGGAAGGCGAATGCGAGCGCGGTGTACTCACACGCTGGATCGCGAGATACGCCGAGATACGCGGCGAGATGTGCCGAGATTGTGTTCACAGCCAGAAGCCACCGCGTAGGAAGAGGGGGCGCGCCGCTGATGCAGACGCGGCGACGCCCGCGTCGGCGGCGTCGAGCAGCGAGGGCGACTAGAGCACGGCGTGGCGCGTACCGCACCGTGCGTGGCACCGCCTCTTTGTCTGACTCTTGAGGATGGCGGCGCACTTGTCAGTCTCCCACGACACAGCAGCTGTCAGTGTAGATCGAGTCCGCGCGGCCGCCCGCGGGCTGCTGCCGCGTGTGTCCGAGGCGGCCCTCGGTCGTGGGACACCACATCACCTCCGGCTCCGCGCACCGCGGGGCATGCGTGCTCGTTCGACGCCGGTGTGACTAGATACGATGTCGAAGCCGGGCGCTTTTTGTTCATGCCTCTCGTGTTTTGCTGATACTGTGTGAAAGGACACTGCGCGGTCCCCCACGCCGGCGGCCGCGGCATCGGGCAGGTTGCGGGGATGCGCGCGCCACAGAGTCGCATGTGTGGTGTGTGGTGTGTCGAGTGTCTCACACGAGATTGCGGCCGACACCGGGCCGCAGTCCTCACCGCGATGCCAGAAGGACAAGCGGCACACGGTGGCGTCAGCGACGCGGGTGTTTACGTACTGTGCGAAGTCGCGACGGCGCGCACCACTGGCTCGACCTCGAGCACACTCCGGCGGTGCAACGAAGTCCCCCACGCTCGCGTTGACCGTTGTCTCTCCGCTCCTCGCGAGTCCGCTCCACACCACACCCCTCACCACTCGCGTACTGTACGGCTCCGGCACGATGGCTCACTGCACTCTACACACCACCCCCGCAGCAACCGCATTCTATACACACGGCATCCATCGTCCCGCACCGCGGCCGCTCGCCTGGCGCCAGCTTTGCACATTCCGTGCGCCTGCGCGCAGCGCGAGGTGCACCAGTGTCGCCAGTTTCAGGCTACGGCTCAACCGCCCGTCCCACCACCGTCCTGACCGCTGGCGGCCTCAGAGCAGCCGGGGCCGGCGGCGAACGGCTGTATCCCGGGTGGGGTGGCACCCACGGCGATCCGCCTACAAACGTGAAGAGACGCCACTCAAAGCTGCTGGGGGAAGCGGGCCGGCTGTCTACCGCATTTGCCGTCGGTGGTCATCGATCCGAGCGGCGACGTGGCGGGCTGGTCGTACCTGCGAGGCCGGGGCTCGGAGCTCGGGTCTGGACCAGTCTGCACCAGTCTCCAATCTCGGGTGCCCCGCGCGCCCCAAGCCGGCTGTTCCCTCGCCAACGAGCTCCATCACGCGGTGTCTCCCTGCAAGCAGCGCCACCTGTCCACGCCAGCAGCGGTTGCGGACATCGGCAACGCGGACTATCTCGCGTTGTGACCATTCTAAGTCGATCTCAGGCATACTCTCACCGGCATGACCACCGCCGTCATGACGAGCAGTAGCCAACGCGGAAACCGGGCAGGATCGCCGTGTGTGGTGCCGAGCGCCGCAAAGTCGGGGTCGTCGTACGTCGCCGGCGCTCCACCGATGTCCAGCGGTCCAGACGGCGTGGCACGGCGCGGCGGCTCGTCGGAACCCGCCTGCCCCCCTGCGGAGTCCCCGGGCGCATTCATCGAGGGATCCCGCTGTGGATTGCTCGACGATGCGTCAGCGGCGCCACCCCGCAAGCGGTGGTTGCCGCCAGCTGCTACCGGCGCGGTTTGTGGAGGGTCCGCAACGCGGCCGCCCGTCCATCGCGCTAGCCAGCTGACGTGGGGTGGGCGGGAAAGGGGGGGGGGGTGAGGAGGAGGGGGGGACGGCGCCTCTTGGCGTCTGGCGCTGGGGAGAGGGGGCACCTCGGAACGCACTGGCTGAAGTTTGTGCGTTCGTTCCGAACAATACACAACGCGCCGTCGGCGCACGGGCGCGTGTCAGTCGGGCGGCGCCCGCCGCACTGCCCCCACGCGAGTGCCTCCCCGGCGCTGGGTACGTCAGTGCGCTCGTCAGCTCCGCCGCTGTCGGCAGCCCGCGTTGCCGGCTTCGCCACCGTCACTGGGCGGTCCAGGCTTAGCTTGAACTCGCCCCACTCCACGTGGCCTACAGCGACGTTGCGCGCATATGTCCTACCTCCGTGTGAGCCGCGGCGTCGATCGCGCAAGTGGCGCTCCGCAGATGCTGAATGCGCGAGTATCCACGGGATAGCGCTGTTCTGATTCGCTGGCGAGCCCGCGCAGCGCTGGGGCGGGACTGGGGGAGATGGGCGGGAGGCGCACCGTCGACGTCCGAGTCCATTTCCGCGACGGCCTCAGCAGCAGCTTCTGGAGTTGGACAGCAGACGTCGGAGTCGAGCAGGAGCTGGCGGGCGTCGTCTGTCGTAATCCTTCCGTCGCCGTCCCCGTCGTATGCGTCGAAGCGCTGCCTGAGCGACGGCGCACTCAAGCTGCCGCCGCTTGCATAAAACACAAGCAGGAGGCCGGCATGGAGTGCGAGGGCAGCGGCGGCGCCGAGCCATCGCAGGCGCCGCTGGCGGCTGCGCTCGGGCGCCTCGACCAGCAGCCCGACCGATACCGCGGGTCCGTCCGAGGCCGGCCCCAGCATGATAAGCGGCGCTGGCCGCGTCGCGGAGGGCGACGGGCGATCGTTGCTCGGCGCGCTGGCTGTGCAAAAACCGATCAAACCGGGCGCGGAACCGCCGAGCCCGATTCGAAGGTTCGTCAGAGGGGGGGGGGGGGGGGCAACATGTTGTGCTTTCCGCCTATTCCCGCATCGCTGTGGACTGTCGGCTGCGAGGACGGTCGCATTTGCGCGAGGCGAGGCGAGCATTCAGGCGCGTTGCATGCGCCATGACTCGCGCCAGCGCGTGCGGGAGCTCCTGGCTGAGCGTTGAGTCCAGGCGAGTTGCGCTGGCCACTATCGCTACGCCGAGCCGAGCTGACGCGCCGAGGCGCCGGCCAGTCGCAGCCGTGAGGCATGCCACAGCAGCAGAGGCATCTGCCACCCATTGGGCGGGCAGACAGAAGGCCAGGGCAGCACTGGCAAGTGCAACGCGCCTCATGTCGGAGAGCGACCGTGCCTCGTTCGTTCGCCGCTTATCATGCATAGTTTGTTGTAGAGATTTCACGTTGTAGAGCGCCTCTACATCGCTCTACAACGCACGCAGTTCGTCACGCGGCGAATGTAGAGCTCTACAGCTCTACAGCGCTCTCCAGCGCTTGAGCACTTGAGCACTGGATAGGTAGGGCTGAGGGGTGGCCCGTCTACCGTCTACCGGTAGACGGGGGTAGACGGGGGTAGACGGTAGACCATTTGGTAGACGATACCGGTAGACCGTAATGAACCTACGACACCAGTCTACCGGTAGACTTCGTAGACCGCGGTAGACCGGGAGAGAGAGAGAATTCTTGATACGAACTCTCTCTCGGTAGACCGGGTTTAGGTTTTTTTCTGAGCTTAGCCTTCATGTTATGAAACAACGCAAGGCGGACATGCGTACGCTGGACCGAACAGTCGTAAGTCCAAGTGCGCGGGATAGAGATGAGCACCAACCCGGGGGGCGTGCTCGCGTCGGCGGGCGGGGAGGACGAAAGGAGTGATGGCAGCGACTGCGCCGTCGCCGGTTCGGGCGCAGAGGAGGAGGAGGCGGTTGAGGCGGTGGAGGCAGTGGCGGTCGAGGAATTCGTGTCTGGCCCTGTCCTCGATTTGGCGTCAGGCGAGACGACTTCACGATGACCTTTCTAACAGTCGAGCGCAGGGATCGGTCAAAGTTTGACCGGGAGGCGCAGCGTCATGGACGGTCACCAGCCGAAGATCCCGACGATACCTTGGGGCGCCACCTCGCGCAATGTAAAGCCCGGGATCCTGAGAAAGACTGGAGTAGGTTGGAGCAAGATGTGCAGAGGAACCGCGAACGTGAACGCGCACGCGTACCTTGCACCCTGAATGGCGAAGAAATACTATCTAAGGTCGTCTCGAAATGCGCTTTACTGAGGAGTATGAGGCCAAGCTCAAGGACCTGAAGGAGTTGCTCTCCAGCGCGGGCAGCGGCACCTGCTTCGAGTACTCGACTGGCGGCCGCTCGGGGTTCTCCTGCGTCGTAGCCTACGCCACAGGGCATTACATTTGCAGCAAATCCGCGTGGCACTTTGAGGGTGTGCCGAGGGCGTACGAAAGTGGCCTGTACGAGCCGAGATCGGCGGGCGGCCGCGGCGCGGCCGCCACCGTCCCAGCGACACCCCCGCCCGCGCCCGCGCCCGCATGGCACCACTACTGCGACGAGGCCTGCTTCCGTGAGTTGTGCCCGCAGATGGCAGGTTATCTGGCCAAGCTCGGCGGCGCAAGCCGCGCGCACGCGGCCGAGGGCCCACATAGAGGGCGCTGAGGGCGAGTGCGCGTGCGAGTGGGTGGGTGGGTGGGTGGGTAGGGGGGTCTAGTGTGTGGTTTGCAGAAGGAAGAGTTTCGTGGTCGGAGAGAACGGTCTATTCTTGTACTATCTGTGACAAGCAACTACTCCACCGAGCCGCGCCGCGCTGCGCGGCGCGCGCGGCTCACTCGCTACCACCGACACCCGTGCGTGTCTCACTAGCTTCCCGGGGTGCCATCTCACTTCCCGCGGGCGCCGGCGCGAGCCCCCTCTACGAAATTGGCCTGCGCTCGTCTGACTGCTCGACGCACCCTCTCACTGCGGAGTGCATCGACGACTCTGGCGTCCTCCTGTTGACCATCGGCGGAGCGCGGGACGGTATGCGGGCCGTTGGTCGCCGAGCGAAACACAAACGGCCACAATCGCTCGATAAAGTGGCCCGCCTCGGTGGAGCCGCCCGCTATGAACTGCGACAACAGCCGCGCGTAGAAGGAGCGGTCGCGCTTGCGGACGTCGGCCGTGGCGACCGAAAACAGGCCTATACTCGCAACCAGACAGACGACTATGACTGCCGTTTGTTTCAATTGCATCGGCCTTAGCATGGGGATTTGAGGCCCTGGTTCGGAACGAGCGCCCCCGGCGTCTCGTTGAGCCAGTAGCTCGCCCACGCGCCGATCGGCCGCGGCCAAGCCGGGGTGAGACGATTCCCTTTCCACATCTTGATCGCGAAGCTGCCCAAAGCCATAGAAGACATGAGAGAGCTCCGACTCAAATATCTAGGGTCTGACAACCCGCTCGAGGCGCGCTCCACGCCGATATTTAACAACCCTACCCTTCACCTCCCCCCCTCCATAACAAAATTCCACAACCTATTCAATACAGCCCAATTACTCACAGTCACTAACTACTTCACACCAGACGACACCGCGTACTTCGCCACCTCCATCGACCCATACGTCAATTGCCGCTACCCCAGATCGACAGACGAACAGATAATCGTGCCGCTGAGAGGAGGCCACTGGCATACCACAGATCGAGCGAAGGTGCACTACGCCTGGCACGAGCTAGGAATAATTCTCAACAAAAGGGGGCTCAACCCCGCGCACAGGAAGGCCAACCTCCTAAGAAGGGAAATCTGGCACGGCTACGACCGAAGCCTGCAAATGCTACAAAGACCGCCAGTAGCGGCCAAGCTCAGAATCTTTCCCACTAATGTCAAGCTAGAGCTCAAAGTCAAAATATTGAACCTACGAGACGGCCCAATAGTCACAAACAAAGGCACTCAGCCTCGACAAACAACAACGGGCCCATCCCCATCACCAAAAGAAAAATTTGAACCAATACGAGTATACGCCTACCTGGACAGAGACGACACAGTAGAAAACAACCACAAGTACTTGGTGCGAACCCTCAAAAAGAAAGCTGGTCAATGGTACGAGGAATACTGGCTAGCCGAACAAGACGCCAAAGGAATGGTCCACCCAGGAACGAAAATAACTAAGGACGAATTCCTCAGACACAACCCACTACCAGCCCTACAGTGGGCGCAAGGCTACAAAGAGAGCGAGGAGGTGGCCTGGCCACACCCGGAGACATACACATTCGACGGGATCGACAAACCACTCGATCAGATAAGCGTCGGCGACATCACAAAGTATCTGAGCAGAAAGGGCATGACCCAACCCAGGATCCTCAGAAACTGGGAGAAGGACTTCCTACGGAACCCAGGGTGGATAAGAGAGGGAGGAAAAGACTCCAGGGCACGAGTGCAGCGACCCGACCGACCGCACGACAGCTCGTCAAGATTCCGCCTCAGAGTGGAGACAAGCAACAAAATAGTCCACCCTCAAGAATGGATTAACGCTGCAAGAGCGATACACAGCACTCTGGTCCCGCCTACAATTACCGACAACTATTGTAGACATATTCTCAACAGGAGGCTGGTCCTCCGGAAACAGCTCAAGGCGTACGGACTAGACACCACAACACACACGAGGTGCAGGCTCTGTAACAGAACCTCTGAAACGCTGAGACACCTCGACGGGTGCCCGGTCGTCCGGGCGGTCTTTGCACAAGGAGAGTCACTGAGCATACCTCCGCCGAGACTACTCACCATCATCGGAACCTCGGCGGACACGCCTGAGGTCCACAACGCACTTCATCTACACATGTGGAACCAAATAATAGTCTCCCTCTACGAAGAAGAAGACATCAAACCCGAACAAACCTGGAAGGCGGTCTTGAACCTATTAGTGAGAAACATGCAAGCGTACTCGGGGGAGGCCAGAACTAGGCTCCGACGAATAAGACGCAAGAGCGACCGAGTCAGCGATTCGACCATGAAAGAAATAAGCGACAAAGTAGAACCCATGGGGACGATTGATTACTACGGCAGACTACGACTGAGCAGGCGAGTGAATGAAGAACTAAGGAGAGTGGGACTCGACCACCTCACCACAGAAGAGGCGACGACTCACGCACGAGAGATCAAGTTTGTCAAGGCCTCACAAGCTAGCACAACAAACACCTAAAGACTTAAAGGCATCACACTACAAGGAACGCGGCTGAGCTGACTCCCTGTAGGGGGCGCCTCGGTGAACCAGGGACTAGGATCTCGCGCAGACGACACAGGGCGTGCTGCGCCCCGCGCGATCCCTGGCGCAGAGGAGGCTGAGCCGCCGAACTTAGGATGCCTGCAAAGGCTGGCGAAAGCCAGCGAGACACGCCCACAACTCATATCCACTACAACAAGCCATTATGCCCCAATAGGCCCCACCACCCCACCCCTAGGCAATGTAGCGCACATGTCTAGTCCGGAGAGGACGGGGGGGGGGGGTAGGGGATAGCACTGTGCCGAGTATTTTGGATTAAAGCAATTTTTTTTTTGAAGTGTGGTAAAAAGCTAGACCGTGATATCGGCAAACTAAACCTCGTCTACTCGAGAGCGCGAAAATGTGGCATGCTGCACATACTGTAACGGAGAACAACGCTCAACGCAGTCAACCTCTAGCAGTCAAGGAAGGGAACTATCGCTCGCCCACATCGGCGTGCGCCCTGTCAAACTCCCAAACGCGCTCGAAGCCCAACGTCCTCGAGAAGTCCATGAAGTCGGCCAGCTCGCCTGTTCACAGCTAGGGCTGTGAAGGCACGCTGTTCGCGGCGCGCCCCGTGACGTCGGCCAAGCTGCCCTCAGCGCCCGCCGACGACCCCGTCGCCTAAAAAAAGATATGCACCGGTCGCTTTCTTTTTCCTTTCCCGCCGACGACCCCGTCGAAGGTGGCGCGAGATCCGCCGAGATTAGGGGCGGGAGTAGCCGATCTCGGGGCAATCTCGGCCCGTCGCCTTGAGGTGCGAGTAGACAGACTCGATGCCTCTCCCCGCAGCGAGGAAGGCCGTCGCCGGAAAGATGGCGACTTGGTAGCCGAGCTCCACGTACCGCTGCCGACTCAGCACCTAGGGTTATAGGGTCGGTGTCAGGGTCAGGGTCAGGGTCAGGGTCAGGGTTAGGGTCAGGGTTAGGGTTAGGGTCAGGGTTAGGGTTGGTGTCAGGGTCAGGTCGGGGTGAGGGTTCGGGCTGGATTAGGGTTCGGGTTAGACTAAGCGCCGGCGTCTTGCCGCCCTCGACGACGTTGACCAGGAGCGGGAGGCCTACAGAAAAAAGAAAAACACATGGTCAACGGAACCCCCTGATCGTCGACGACGTTGACGCAGCGGCGGCACGCCGGCCAGTGCTTCGCCGACGCGCTCCATCTCCGCCTCCGTCTCGGGAGCCTCGACAAAGAGGATGTCCGCGCCTACAAAAAAGAAACACACGGCCCGTCTGCTCCTCCGTCTCGGGAGACTCGACAAAGAGGAGGTCCGCGCCTACAAAAAAGAAACACACGGCCCCTCTGCTCCTCCGTCTCGGGAGACTCGACAAAGAGGAGGTCCGCGCCTACAAAAAAGAAACACACGGCCCGTCTGCTCCTCCGACTCCGGAGACGCGACAAAGAGGATGTCCGCGCCTGCTCACAGAAAAAGAAATCGATCCGCCATCTTCCCCTCGGGCTCAGGGGACTCTCGACAAAGAGGATGTCCGCGCCTGCTCACAGAAAAAGAAATCGATCCGCCATCTTCCCCCTCGGGCTCAGGGGCTCTCGACAAAGAGGATGTCCGCGCCTGCTCACAGAAAAAGAAATCGATCCGCGCCATCTTCCCCCTCGGGCTCAGGGGCTCTCGACAAAGAGGATGTCCGCGCCTGCTCACAGAAAAAGAAATCGATCCGCCATCTTCCCCCTCGGGCTCAGGGGACTCTCGACAAAGAGGATGTCCGCGCCTGCTCACAGAAAAAGAAATCGATCCGCGCCATCTTCCCCCTCGGGCTCAGGGGACTCTCGACAAAGAGGATGTCCGCGCCTGCTCACAGAAAAAGAAATCGATCCGCGCCATCTTCCCCCTCGGGCTCAGGGGACTCTCGACAAAGAGGATGTCCGCGCCTGTTCACAGCCGCCGCCCCCTCTTGCATTCACAGCTCTCTCGCTCACAGCCTCACGGGCTCCGACGACGACAAGGGCGCCTGCGCTGGCAAAGGCCTCTGCGCGGCGCAGCGCCTAGAAGGAAGAAATACCTCGTGCCAAGAAACAAAGACACCATGGCACGGCCTCTGCGCGCCGCAAAGCCTAGAGAAGAAACGAAATGTCGCGCGCAAAAGGCATAGACTGACGATGGCTTCTGCGCTGCGCAGCGCCTCGTCCAAGCCGTGCTCCTGCTCACAGCCAGGGGGAGTTGGGAGGCGAGAATCTCCGGCAATCTCGGTGGCAATCTCGGCGCAATCTCGCCGTCCGCGCGTCGGTGCGAGCGACGATGAGAAAGTCGCGGGAGCGGCGCGCCTCCGAGGGTGAGGGAGATTGGCCGAGATAGAGCCGAGATGCAGCCGAGATATGGCCGAGGTGTCTCCCAAATCTGGGCGAGCTTGGCCCGAGATTCGCCGAGATCCGCCGAGCTTGGCCGAGATTCGCCGAGATTCGCCGAGATCGCGCCTCCGCCGCCACCCGGATCCTGGCCGCCGCCTCTTGCAGCGGCACCACTCTCCTGCGGGCGTGTCTTCACAGCTAAATGGCGTGCCGCTGTGAACAGGAGCTGTGAAGGGGCACCACTCCCCTGCCGGGCGCGTGAACAGTGTCTCTTCACAGCGCGTAGCTGTGAACAGGGCAGCGGCACCGCTCTCCTGCCCGGCGTGTGCCCGCACTTCTTGGGGAACTCCTGCTCACAGCTACGCGCTGTGAAGAGACGTTGTTCACACCGGGCACGTGGCCGCACTTCTTGGGGAACTCCTGCTCACAGCTACGCGCTGTGAAGAGACGCTGCTGCCTGGCGGCGTGTGTGCCTCCTGGTCCTCTAGCAATCTCGAGCGATCTCGAGCGATCTCGAGCGATCTCGAGCGATCTCGAGCGATATCGAGCGATCTCGTGCGATCTCGTGCGATCTCGTGCGATCTCGTGCGATCTCCTGGTCCTCGAGCTGGATGGCGGCGGCGCCGGCGGCCTCGTACCCCTCCACGGTGTGAGCAACGTTCAGCAGGCCTGGACATACCCGGGACTGTGTGTGTGTGTGTGAGTGTGTGTGTGTGTGTGTGTGTGTGTGTGCGTGCGTGTGCATGGAGGAACAGGCCTCCGTAGCCGGTGTCGCCGTCGCAGATGAGCGGAGCAGTCGAGATGCGGCTGAGCGTGCGCACGCGATCCACCATCTCGCCTGCGGACAGGCGCGGAGCTGTCAGTGGGCGCCTCGCTGCAAGCAGCGGTGCCAGTGTGCTGTTGGGCTTTGCGCGCAGCTGTGCTCTCCGTGCGGTTGCGCTGTCCGTGCTGCTTCGCGGCTGCGCTGCTGTGTTCGACGGTGTAAGAGGACGGCAAGCACCGTAGCCAGCGAGGCCGGCGTCTGGCAGGCCGAGGTGCGAGGCGACGGTGCCGTAGCCGGTCATGTAGTGGGCGTCGAAGCCAACTTTCTGTGCGATGCGGAGGGAGATGCCGTCGTAGACGCCAGGGCAGACGAGAAGCTCGCCCTTGCGGACCAGCTTGCGCAGCATCGACAACACACCCAGTTGTTGTGCCTCTCGCTCTGGTCGGTCCCTCGAGACCTCGAGAGCTGTTCCGGGTGATTCTGAATCGGTGGAAGGATCCAAGCCCTCTACCTTTACTTCGCACAATTTATACACGCTCAAACAGAATAGCGTAAGCTGACCCACAGTGTTCCATCTCCCAGTCTTCCGGCTGTGTGCTCAATCAATCTTCTTGTCTGTCTGCCTCAATCTTCCTCTCCGTGTGGTGTCGTGATAGACTAGCCGCGCAGTGAGCCATAGCACAGCCGCCAACTGCTAAAATCATGAGAGACCCACGCCCGCCAAGAGGTCCTCACGGCCAAGAGGTCCTCACGGCCAAGAGGTCCTCACGGCCAAGAGGTCCTCACGGCCAAGAGGTCCTCACACACTTGTCATTCAGGAAGCAGTTGGCATGCTTGGGGTAATCCGTCGCAGCTGTGCATGCTTGTCCTACGCCGGCGAGTCGCGCGACGCACGGCCGGCAGGTCCTCCCCGCTGTCGACGGGTTCCGGTGGCAATTGCATTGAACACACAGCCCTATGTAGTTCTTCAACATTGTGTCCATACCTTTACCTTTGTGAGGTGGTGCGTGGTCGAGGTGGTTCCATGGAAGTATCAATCCCCAAATCACATTCTCTCCTCGACAACAGCTGGCACCCCCCCCCCCCCCCGCCCCCCCGTTTTTTCTTCGGCTGGTCCCTCGAGACCTCGAGAGCTCTTCCAGTCTCGAGGTTCTCGAGAGAGGTGGATATTTGGCCCCCCAGAGTGTGATGTGTGTGTGTTCGTATCAAGAATACTCACTCACACACACGAAGTCGTGATTTCTTTGGAAACTCGATCCCGCCGTTCTAACTGCCATGTCGGCCGGTCGTCGGCTGGTGCTCTCGAGACCTCGAGAGCTCTTCCAGGGACAGCGGTATTGGAAGCCAATAGCAATACTTAAGATTGGTGCTTTTTTGAGTGAACGGAAGCCGAGGCAAGAAGCACACTTTATCCGGCACATAAAAACACACTCAAATCGAATAGCGTAAGCTGGTCAACAGTGTTCGATCTCCCAGTCCGGCTGTGACCTGTGTCCTGTCTTCTTTTCTGCCTCAATAACTTTCTCTCTGTGTGGTATCGTGATAGACTAGCCGCGCAGTGAGCCATAGCACAGCCGCCAACTGCTAAAATCATGAGAGACCCACGCCCGCCAAGAGGTCCTCACGGCCAAGAGGACCTCAGTCCTCACACCAGAGGTCCTCACGCCTGTCAGAGGTGTTAGTCGGAGGTCCTCAGCGCAGTTACGAGGATGATCTGTCGCAGTATGCGTGCTCGCGTCGCGAGATTCTAGATAGTGGCCATGTTGATCACAAATGCGTCGCCGGCGGCCAACTGCTCCCTGAATGACGTAAAACTCACGGCCGCCAAGTGCCAAGTGGACCTCACGCCGAGAGGTCCTCACGCCTGCGAGCGAGAGGTCCTCACGGCGCAGTCCATGGGATAATCTTTCGCAGCTGTGCATGCGTGTTCTATTCCGGCGAGTCAGCAGTCCGACGCACGGCACTCGGCAGGCAGGTCCTCTCGTCGACCCTTCCCTACCCAGCTTTCCGTTCCCGCGGCAGAGAGCATTGAATAGGCTTACCGTCTGTCCTGCACACAGCCCTGAATGTACGTCAAGAGTTATGTACCTTTGAATTGTAGTGCGGCACGGGGAGACACGAATTGCGTACATCTTGGTACATGGTTAATAAAAATCTCTCTCTCTCTCCGAGATTTTGTGGGACACAAAATCTCGTGTAAAGCAAAGTGAGAGCTCTCTCTCTCTCTCTCTCTCTCTCTCTCTCTAAAGCAAAGTCCAATCTTTATTCACGGCAGAATCTCACACATTTGGGTCCACTCAGACATTTGAACGCCGCACGCCGGCGGCCCGCCGGCGGCACGAAAGCGCCCTGGAGGGCAGCACGTATCTCGAGACCTCGAGAGAGACAGGGGGGTGTATCGACAGCATCGCGGCCGCATCCCATTGCGGCGCCGGGAGTGAGAGTTGTGATGGTCGCCGCGCCCGCCTCGCTTTCACGGGCTCGCGAGCTGCTGAAGGAGGAGCATTGTGGCGCCGCCTGCGTCTCTCTCGCGCAGAAGGGCGACTGGGGCCGCTACCTCGCGCTGATCAAGCATTCCGGCAGCCGAGTCCACGACGCCATCGGTGTGACGCTTGCGTCCCCCATCTCCTCGAGCAGGCCCTCATCACACCGCATTTACGTCACCGGGCGTAGGTGATGGCGGCTGGCGGACCATCCACTTTGCCGCGCAGCAGGGCCAGCTCGTCGCCGTCCGAGCGATCCTCGCGCAGTCGGGTGCATCTCCCGCCATCAGCGCAGCCATCAGCACAGCCGTGCCATCAGCAAGAACAGACACTCTTCAAACATCGGCCAAGTGCGGTCGTGGCAGCGGTATCGCCATCGTCGCCGCCGTGCCATCACCGCCGCCCAGCACTGATACCGAGATCACACATCTGCCCTGATCACACATCCCTCTCAGTCCAGTCGGCGCGGGTCCAGTCGCAGGTCCAGTCTGATCACACATCTCTCCTGATGCAGTCGGGTGGATCTCCCGCCGTCAGCACAGCCACTCATCAAGCATCGTTGAATCTAGTGCGGCCGTGCAGCATTGTCGCATCGCCGCTGCCTAGCACTGATATCTCTCTCGCCTCCCTGGACCGCTGCGGGAGAGCGTGACTCCCGCCTCTCTGCCCTAGTCTCGTCTCTCTCAGCCTCTTTCTGCTGCACTCTCCAGCCTCCTGATGCCGTTTGGTCTCCTAATGCCGTGCAGACCACCCGCACCGCCCACTCCCCATCAAACATCATGACCAGACACTCTCAGCCTCCGTCTGCAGCCGCTCTCCAGCATCTCCTGATGCCGTGATACCATGACCTATCGCAGGTCCAGTCAACGCGACTGACGCCTTTGGCAACACGCCCCTCATCCTCGCCGCCCACGGGGCGCACTGGGAGACGGCGAGGCCATATAGTGGCCCCGCCGCGAAGCCGCCGACACATGTACATGTACAGTACATGTCCCACGGCCTCTCGTAGCACACACTGGGAGACAGTGAGACTATCGCTAACACATGGTGCGACACACTCGTGGTATTGCCGAGCTGCTATCCGAGCTTATTCGAGCGCCAGTCAAGCCCTAGCCGTGGCAGCCATAGCCGCGATTAATGCTGCATTCCTGCCGAGATGCTACACGAGCGCCCATCAAGCCGAGCCAAGAGGCACCTGCAGCAGCGGTGGCTGCTCCTTCACGCCCTTCACGCCCTTCCCTCTCTTGGATCAGGTGCAGCCGATACATGTCCCATGGCTCTCGTACCTCACCTATACTACATGGTGCGACACACTCGTCGTGTCTCCAAGCCCTGCTATCCGAGCTTATCCGAGCTCATCCAAGCGCCAATCAAGGGCCGTGGTAGCCATAGCAACTTTTCATTTTGCTGTTCAGGTGCACTGCTTGCTCAGTGCGGGGGCACACGCAGGCGCCGCCAGCCGCTGGACCGGCCCCACTTCATTTTGAATGAATACCTATTAATCAATTGAGCAGGCGCCGCCAGCCACTGGACCGGCTACGGCGCGCTGCACTACGCCGCTCACCACGGCGCGCGAAGTCTCTGACTCCTCGCCTCTCCCTCTCCTCTCCCTCACCTCTACCTCTCCCTCTCCTCTCTTCCTCTTCCTCCCCCCTTTTATCCCCTCCTCTCCTCCTCTCCTCCTCTCCTCCTCTCCCTCTCCTCTCCCTCTCCTCTCCCTCCCTCTCCCTCTCCTCTGCCTCTACTCTCCCTCTCCTCTCCATCTCCTCTCCCTCTCTTCCTCTCCCTCTCCTCTCCCTCTCCTCTCCCTCTCTTCCTCTCCCTCTCCTCTCCCTCTCTTCCTCTCCCTCTCCTCTCCCTCTCTTCCTCTCCCTCTCCTCTCCCTCTCCCTCTCCCTCTCCTCTCTCCCTCTTCCTCTCCCTCTCCTCTCCTCCTCTTCC